GACTCTATCATCTGGATCTGTTACACTTCTTTTTGGATCATTTCTCGCATAAAAAACTGAAAATTTGGCACAGAACAGACACAAAGAGACAAATTCATGGCAACATTTGGTTTTTTAATTTGACCCGCCTCCTTTTTGACCATAAATGGAAGGAAAATAAACTGTAGATGAAGTTTTTCACTGATACCTGTGTGTGGTAGGAATAATTTCACCACGGCAGATAAAAGATTTCCATCTGTAGTAATTTATTTTTAGCGGTGTGGGTGAGATGGTGCAGAGGTGGGTTGCAAAGCGGTTTGCAGCTGCTTATTGTTTTGAATTTACAATCTAATGCTAAGCCACAAACATAAACGGATCTCAACACTCCGGCTTTGGAAAGTGAAGCTTTATTTCTTAATAAACTCTTTGAAGACCAAAACTGAAGTGGAGATGTTTGTCCATACTGCCCAACACGACGTTTTACTGAAAACCAAACACAGGAGGGATGATGATCTGAGTGGACCACAGCTACAGCTCAGACCATCAACAGGACAATGATCCAAGCACAGCAGCAGATCTGCAGCAGAACGACTGAAGAAGAATCGAGCTGCTGCAACACTGCAGAGTCCAGACCTCAACCTGCCTGAGACCTTGGACCAGCTGTGCATAAATGAATGCTGCATTTGCAGTAAGTCTGCAGCTTGTGCACCTGACTAGACATAGTACTTGAAAGTCTCGGTGCTTTAACTTAAAACATTTACAGCTTGTTAAGCCTCTTTCCACACATCAAATACTGAATTCTCCAACAGTTACGACAAGAAATTTGACGTGTATAAAATCCAGACGCGTGAACGCAACACATGACGTTTGCCGTCCCCGTCGGTGCTGATGGAAATGGGTTTGGAGTCCTTTCCATTCCACTTCGCTGAGGGAGTTGAGAGGAAAAGCACCATGTGCAGCTTTCTGACTGTGAAGAGTACAGAGGCATGAAGACCTGTAGTGCACTTCATGCACTGTAAACTCACCTGTGCTCTCGAAAAGTGAGTACAGGAGTCCGCCATTCGAGCGGACGAGCGTCTCAAACATCCTCACATCCAACCCCACAGTTTGGTTGTGTTTCTAAGCCTGTCACCTTGTAAACGTTAACGCTGTGTTCAGACCAAACGTTCAGCAGTTCTGCCCGAGGTTACCCTGTAAATCTGTGAATATTTGTGCGTAAAGTAGGAGAAATTAAACATATTTTCACAGAAAATCCTGTCATTTTGCTTATTTTTCTCCTGCGTCTTGTTTTGTTCTGCCTCTATATAAACGATGAACTCTACACATGCTGGGTGTTACTGGGAGAACCAGTCCTACAGTCTTTGTACGAGACCCCATTACAGGTCTCATGCTCAAAGGCCAAACTCTTAGATGTAGAGGTCTCAGGCGAAACGTCACCTGAAGTCTTAAATGAAGATCATTGTTCTGTATTCATGGCTAGTCTGAGTTTTTCTCAGCAGTCTTGAGGATGCAAGCTCGTTAATGTGTTTGGCACCTGCAGCAGGTTTGAGACTGCACACCACATAACCTGCAAATTCAGAAAACTGTGTAAAGAACACGTTTGCAGAAGGATTCGGTGCATCTGTTAACTCACGGAGGAAGGACGGGCTGGCATGTGGCATCCCTTCTGTTAGTGCAGTAATCCCGAATGTCTAAACAAGGCCATATCTCACCACGGCGACACCGGTATCCTAGCAGCTGCACCCGATGGTGTTTGTTGGCACGGAAACAGCACAGAGGCTTAGAAGCGAGCACACACACAGAGACAGACTGATGAGTCTTTTCAGCTCTCTGTAAATAAGGTAAATGCAGGATGCAAAGTACCGGGAAATGTGCAAACACGGGCTTTACTACCCAGAGAGGATATCAGTCAGTCAGAGATGCCGTCTGCAGCCGTCTTTCATGAACATCAAATATATTATCAACTAAATCATCAGATGAAGCTGATGCACAAATGCACAGAACATTTAGGTGAATTAATCATGCACATGTGAGCCTCAGCGGGAGGCTCGGGTACATCTGCATTTAGCCCCACTTATCCTTCCGGGGTCCCCTTACACTGTGACACAGCTGCAAGCGTCGCACAATCAGCAGCTACATCTGGGAGCTCAGTTTGGCTGAATGCACCACAAGTGTTCCCTCGGTCTGATTTATGCAAATCAGCGACGCACATCTTTAAAGACGGAGCGCTTCAGCTGCTGCAGAAGTCAGCTGGCTGCACATGTTTTGTCACATGTGCTTTTCCCCTCTAATTAAGACTTCACACACCCCGCTTGATGTGGAAGGCTAAAGGCTCATTTCTCCTCCAAGAGCAATTAATAAAAGGGGAGAGCGTCTGTGAAGTGTCAGCAGCCCTCTGCTTACAGCCGACAGCAGCAGCGACACAAACAACAGCAAAGTGAAAACAGATTTTTAGATAATGACCCAGACACAGCTCGCTCCCATCGCACTGCAAAATAATTGAATTCGCTCAGTTATCATCAGGAGCACCTCGGAGGTCAGATGAGGGAAGCTCTGCTGTGACAACATCCTTAAAGAGGAATACCACCAGGACCTGAGGACATGAGCGGTTCTGAGCGATGTATGGAAAATAGTGTGTTTGACTGCAGCACGGAGGTTAGATCGCCGTCAGCAGGCAGTCGCCGCCACAGCCTCTGATCTGGGAGTTATTTTTACAAACATAATCATCTTTTGCTCTTGAGCTTCAGGTGCAGACATCCTCCTTCAGGCTTTTCTGGCATATTCATGGTTCCCTCGGTTACAGCAGAGCAGACCATCACGCCACCGCTGCTGTGATGTTCTCTTTATGAAACTCTGTTATTTTGATGTGACAGGACTCAAACCTTCTCAGGGATCATCCAGATGTTTTCTGGCAGATGTGACACAAGCCGTGGTCAGCAGTGGTTTTCTCCTTAAACTTTCCCATGGATGCCATTTTTGCCCCGTCTCTTTCTTGTTGTTGAACCATGACCTCTGACCTTAACTGAGCCGAGCGAGGCCTGCAGGTCTGTAGATGCTGCTCTGGGTTCTTCTGTGACCTCCTGGCTGAGTCGACGTGCTCCTGTGAAGGTTCAGCACCGTTCCGGGTTTCCTCCATGTGTGGATAACGGCGCTCGCTGTGGTTCACAGAGGCTGGCTCAGGCTGATGATGTCACTTGTTTCTTTAGATCGCAGCGTGATGCTGACGTGCTGCTGGTTGAGACCTTTCAGTCTGCTTCACTTTATCAAGCAGCTTCTGTTTAAGGGATTTATCATCCAGCAGGTGTGACAGTGATCAGGTCTTTTTGGAAGCTCAATAAAATGTGGTTAACGAGAGTTAATTCATTTTTAACAAGAAGGTCCAGGTGGGTTTGGATTTGTGTTTGTATTTACTCTCGTTATCTTTGTCTAATAGTCAAATTACTTTGATGATCTGAAACATCTGAGGCCTCCAAATC